TGGAGGTGATCACTGGTTTTAATCACACTTTAAGTAATATTAAAGCTGAAGTCTGTAAGTTTTTAAAAATCACTTTTTTGTCATATTGGCTAAAACTGTCCCTATGCCCAGACAGCAGTACATGTGATATGTAACCTCTGAAAAAAACTGCTTCAATTGGTCCCGCATACTGCCTGTATTTCAATCTGGAAAGAATAATTCGGGACGAGTCAAAACAACCAATCACAACCAGAGGAGCATCTGATGGAGTGTCAATCACAGCTCACACACGCTGAATCCCGCCCCCCCCTCTCACCGCTGAACCTGCCGCTGCTGCCCGGCTGCTGCAGTCAGGAGGACGCGCGTGGAAGTCATGGCGGAGCAACAGCCACCAGCGAAAGAAAAACTGCCCTTACTGCCCCTGCCGACAACTGCTTACACGGCAAACTTCGGTATAACCAGCATCTTATATCTAGCTGCTTGGAGGTGAGTGTTATCGCTCTTACCGGTTCACACTCCATGCCGCGTACGCTGCTTGGACGCTTCTGGTCGCATCCGGTAGCCGCGCAGATGCTGTGAGAGGGGTGGAGCTTGGAGGTGGGGCATGAGTGAAGCAGAGAGGGTGGGGGAGTGGCGTGAAACCTGTTTTTCTTCAAATTTTCAGTCGAAGTCTGCTCTCTTCTCAATGTTACAGACTGCAGCTTTAACCAATATAATAAATGACTTTAAAACAGGACTATAGGTTAATAGAATTTAAACTACATTAGACAGAGGAGTTGTTTGGGTTTATAGCGCTGGGCTCTTACTAATGTTGTGGGGAAAAAAGAATCCGGAAAGAGCCCAGAAGATGGGTTACAACAGCTTCTTATAGACCAGCAGGGAAACACCCTACAAGAACAGTACACATCACACACGTATTGTAAAGGACGAGTTATCAGATTGTGAAATAGAACATACTCCAAGGTTTTGCCACATACACGCTGTACCAAGATAAGGGACGCTTGTCTAAGTACAGTATGTCAGAACTGTGATGGGCAAAGTGTCAGTGAATTCTCTGTTAAAGCAGTACTAAGTACCGTAGTATTCAAGTTGCACTCCCCCTACAGAACATTAAGAAAATCACACTGTTGTAAACACTGACAGCTGTTTAACAGCTACAGCATTCATTCTTAAGGGCAGATTATACTTCTGCAACCGCACACATCAAATGTCGCTTGCGTCTGGTAGCGAACCAGTTTTGCTGGTATGCTTCTGCAACGTCGGTCTGGAATTTCTAGGGATGCACAGTAGTTTCCCACCAAAGCGCAAGGGGGAGCCTATTCAACAACTTATGAGAACTTTGGCGGATGGTCACGAGAACTTCTTCAGCGGCGCCGGTGGGAGTGTTTTTTTTCCAAAACAACATGTCTGAGGCATCGTACAAGTGGTAATCCGAACCACTTCGATCAACTTTTCGTCGTCGTTATCCATCGTTGTTATTACTCCTAGGTTTCTAAAAATGGCGCGCCCCAGCACCAAATCGAGAAGGATGACCATAAAGACAGCCGGAAAGGCATACCAAGGACCAATCACAGCTGCGCACTTCCGCTTGAGGTCTGCGCGGGTTTGCGACCATCCTTCTTGTAGTCAGGATTTTTTTGACGTGCGCGACAACGGTTGCACAGCCTTTGCGCCGAGACAGATTTGACGGTTGCAGAGGCTATGCGTCAGAAATATAAATTGGCCTTTAGGCAGCTGGAGGACGCAGATCACCAAAAGCATTTTACAATATCTAATGTAAAATAGTGTAAAGAGGCCTTTTCATGATCTGATAAAATTCACTTTTTCTTTTCCTTTCCTCTTCTGACGCAATGATTCTGACTCTTCTGTCTGCCAACCCCTCCCGAGAGCATGCATGAGCTAATTTCTCCTCCTGCACACTCTGTTTAAAAGTTGCTGTTCTCATAGCTCATACAAGCTTACTGTGTCCAAACATCCTCTATAATCCCTTGATCACTATATAGAGCGGGGACTATATAGTGGACTTTATAGTGAGCTCAGTTAACTGTCCGTTCGGACAGATGACCACTGCTTTATGCTCCGCTGGTCACATAACTCCTCCTCCACTGCATGGTGTCTGCGCCATCTTTGTTATTAGTCGCCGCTGTCGAGTGGCGACAGTCTATGGGAACAGTGGGCCGCTGTGACAGCCAATCCCATAATGCTTTGCGAGGAGAGCTAAGCACACAAAGCATTCCAAAATACATCTGCTTCTTCTGAGGCCTTTCTTTTCTTCTCATACATTTCATAGACACTTTTTTTCTTACGATCCTTGGCCATTTTCAAAGAACTGCGGTGAGAAAGGTGAGCTTCAATGACTGTCTGAGACCGTAGCTCACCACACATATTCACCTGAAAGTGCGCATACTCAGAAAAATATAGCTAACAGGACGAGCACGTGGGATGGCCTTACGTAAATATATCACCAGAATGATGGAGGACCACTTATTTAGATGATCCACCTGACAATAAAAGATTGTCCTCTAATTTATATTTTTTTTAAAACACGATAGTAGAACAACTCTTCAAGGAATGAGACAAACAAAAAGGATACTTTCAGCCCTCTGCTTGTACCTATGACAATAGACGTTCACAGATATATAGCTTTAAAAATGTTGTATGCAAATATTTAAAACCTGCCCATATATAAACATATGTTTTAGCTGAACCATGCTGACAGCCAAAGTATGTCAAGGTGCGTGGGGACTGAACAGTTCTCAGCATTACATGTTTTCAACTGGTTCATTGCCCTTATCCTCCATGTCGGTCCTCATCATCAGACTCAGAATAGGAGTTCTCCCTTGATTTTGAAGCTCCACCTGTTGCTGCAGGATTGTATTGTAGGACATCAATTACCTCCACAAAGAATTTGTATTTTAGCTATTTTAGAAAGGCCTCTCCTACCATTAGTCTTAATAGATCAATGGAATGATATGAGATTTTCTTGGAGTGAGGTATTTTTCAAGAGCTGGGGCCTGCACCAACACCCTCCATTCTGGCAAATATAGATAGCAGCACGTTAACGTTGTACATTTGGGATATTATTCCTGACGACCATACAGCACCATTACAAGAGGGGTAAACAACTGCGTTTTAACGACTAGTCCTGACTGTATATAGATAGGCCTTCTGTAAAACTCGTCCTGATACCGAAGTCTCGTGTTGCTCATGCTTGCAGTATCATGTCTGGAAGGTAGTTACTTACGTCCAGCATGGTTGAAAGCTGTATGAAGGATCAGCAGAAATGGCAAAAGCTGGAATACAAATCAAAGTGGACCTACATGTGTAGTGGGCATTGATACTGAATCTGTATTATTACAATGTATTATTGCAACATTTATTAGAAGATAAGAAGTATAAATTGACAAGTTTTTTTAGTGATGGAAGCAGTGGAGACAAGCCTTTTTTTATGTAGACAAAAAATGGAGTGGTGAATGCTCTTTTTAAACTGTCCTAATTTAGCAGTAGAAGGACTGTTTCGTGGTTCTACCACGTTCTGCAACTGGAACCTTCTCTCTCTGCTCCACTGTTCTTTCTGCCTTGATTCTCTGCATGCTTTTCTGATCGTCTGCTATCCTCCTTTCATCTACCACAGTTAGCCTCTATAACTAGCCTCTGTCAGCTGTAGCCTATCCTCTCCCTGGTGCTGTTTCCCAGCGGATTAGAGCTCATTTTTAATCATATCTGCCCTTATCTTTTGGTAGAAGTTTTTCTTGGTATTCATAAATCATTATGACTCAAACCAGATGTAAAATCTACAGTCTGAATCTCCACATCTGTTGTTACTAAACAAATGTTGACCCCTCCTAAGATAGTCGATCGTAGCTAAGCTCGCATTCGGATGTGTGACGTCATCGCAGTGCTATCTTAAGTTTAAGGCTAGAAAAATAGGTCCAAGAAGGTTTTGAGGAAATGTTTGACTAAATTACACCCATGTTAGGCGTATAAATTTCATTTAATTTGACCTTAAAGATAGATGATTCAAAAACTAGAATGGCTGAAAGTTCTCCACATTCTGGGGGTCCCACATTTCTGACTCTTGACTCAGCTGATGAGCACAGTCTGCAAAAACGTCTGTTTCTTCAGGTTGAAGAATGAACTGCATGGACTAAGGGGTTATTTTGGCCAATCCAGAAAGTGTAACAAGCCCTGCTCTCGTTCTTCAGGGATCCTTCTTTTTTAATGAAAAATATAACCGTAGTCCTTATGGCCAATCACTTCCATTTTAATTTTGTCAGACCACATGACCCAGAAACAACCTTTGTCCCTAAGTTCATGAGTAATCACTAATATACTCTATGGTTGCAATGGTGGATGTTTGTAGCACTGTTGCCTTGCAGTATGAAGGCCCTGGGCTTGAGTCCTGCCTTAGAATATGTCGCAATAGAATTTGCATGTACTCCTGTGCATATGTGAGTTCTCTCTGGGTACTCTGGCTTCCTCCCACTGTTCTAGAACATGACTGTTAGGTCTCTAAAATGCTATTAGATGTGCATGGTTTCACGTCTGTTGCCTATTCTCCATCGATTACTTATATAATGACTTTGGCTCAGTTCACAATTATGATTAATTCCATTTTCCATTAAAATGGAGTAGTATCTTGGTGGGGTCGTGATCCTTACCAGGAAGGCTGCCCTACAGTCAGACATGCTATATTGTAAAGATACATCGCAACAACAATCTGCTTCCTTTAAGGCTCTTAGACTCAGAGTGCAAGAGGAATACTAAGGAAGGCTATGGGCAACTAGACAAAGGAACCTAGATGTGTAGAGAGAGAAGCCATATGGTATGAAATTAAAGGATATGAGCTACAGGAAATGTAAAGGTAAACTAATGCTACCTATTGCTTATTTATAATAGAGCTTATATACATACCGGTAATTAGACCAGTGTAAAATCATTTGATGTTTAAAGATAGTTATTAAAACAAGCTGTTAATAATACTGACACTGAGTGAAATTAAGAAACAATTCATTATTTTCAGCAAAATCAGGTTTATTGACAGGTTCTCAGTTGCAGAACTAGTACAAGGCTGTATAAGTAGTAAATTAGTACAACAGACAAATAGTTTGATATATTTGCGACTTGCACTGAGTGTGAATAAAGAATGTGGAAAGAGATGAGAATATTTGCTACAAAAAGGCTTCAATTACTCACACTACCAGAGCTGGGTTAAGACCAAGATACAAAATTAAGACCACAGAGTTTTCTTTGTGCAAATAAAAAAAAAAAAAAAGTCTCTACATATTACAAAGCTAAAGTAAAAACCAAACACACAAAGGACCTCTGTTAATAATATTCAATTATGTACATAACATATTTTAAAAAAGAACTACAGAGCCAACTAGTAAGAAAACACTTAATTTAATCCAAAGTACCACTTAGGTAAGACAAATGGGTATATTTTCTGTATAACCAATGTAAGGGCCAAAAAAAGTTTAAAATTTGTAACAAGTACATAAAAAAAGGACAATAGAGAAAGACATAACCCTTCTTTGAACAAGCACAAAAACAAAAAAAAAAACCCTGAGACAAAAAAACAAAACAAAAACTGATGAGTATCTCCTTCAGCATTCTCTCCCCGCAAGCTCGTTACTTTTTTCAGTTGCGGAGCAGAGTACAAATTTAGCTCACCAAAATTGAGGGAAGCCCGAGTCCAAAGGCTAAAAATACAGACAGGAAGAATATTTCTGTGCACAAAATAATACAGCTTCACAAACAACTTGCTTCCTTTGCCGCACAGCTGGCTGATCACACGTCTAATTCAGCCTGCGAGCAGGAAAATAATACACCTGAGTAAACGCGTCAGGCGAAAAGGGAATAAAACTGGAAAAAGGACCAGTACAGGTCTGATCCGGTCACAGTAGCTTATTTGTTCCAGGAGGAGAGAGAAGAAGCAGAGATGACTGCGAGGCCCCCCTGCAGTAAGCATGGCAACAACTCCCGCTTAAACTGCAGGCTGCTTCCATGAGAAAGTTACACAGTCCGAGTAAACAGATCAGGTGGTGGGGGCTGAGGATGGGTGGGACCAGACTTTCAGTCTCTGGGCTGCTTCCAGGCCTTTGCTCCTCCGCAGACTCATCAGAGAGGACGGAGCCCCAACGATACAACATAAACCCCTTCTTCTTCCTCCTCCGTGGAGCCAGCAGAGAGACATATGCCTGCATACCAGACATCACAGCTCATCTGGGGGGAACAGAAAAGAGGGAGGTTAATGTTAAGGTCCTGTAAACGCTGCTGGAAAAGGAGGCAGTGTGTAAACAGTGGGCAACACAAAGTCTTCAGTGCTCATCCTCTTATCACCATGCCATTTTATGAGGCGTGCCCATATGGCATTATTAATGCCTCGCTACGTTATTTAACCAAAGTTGTCCTGGTATGCGGGATTAAGCTGCTTGACTGGTTTAGGTTCTTGAGGAATAAATATTGCAGTCTGGGAACAAAGACAACGGCGAGATGAAATTCAGCCTCTCTGCATTTAAATAAGAAACCGATTCCAAAATTCCATCTGCTGTCTTCAGATAAAAGCTCCAACTCTGAGTCACCTTTTCATGGTTCAGTTTTTAAAATCCCTACACATGCAAGAGCGCTTGCAAAAACTTCCTTTGAAACCCTCTTCTCGAGTTTTCTCTCCAACCCCAGATAACTCGGCGTCTAATTTACCACGCCTGCTGCCATGTTGGAATGCTTCCCTGGATATCTCGGGGGAGGTAGCGAGAAACTTAAACATGGTGTTTGCCTCTGATTTGCATGTTTGTGATGTGCCCTGCTCTCTGCCCTGCAAGCTACAAGCCTTGGACATTTTTGCTCTGCAGCAGGCAGAGGGTTATTTTGGTAAGCTCTCATTGTCACAGCTGACCTTACAGAAGGTTTCTCTGAGCTACGTGCGACTGTTGAAGCTGTGAATAATCAGCCTGAGGGCAACAGTTGGAATCAGGTAAAGCTACCGGGAAAACAAAAGACTGCAGAGAAGTTGAATTACCTTCTGAACAAATAAGATTAGATCTTCTGAGACATGAAAATAAGGTAAACCTGTTTCTTTGGTGCTTCTGTGATTTTTTCCTGTGGGGTCTCAAAGGTTTAAACATAACAGGATATTTTAACACATAAAAACAAGCGAGTGCTATCAGCATACATCAGAGCTGATATTGGTCAGGGAGCGTAGGTGGTGTAATACAGGGTCTGAATCACCATGACACAGCTCCTACACAGATTCTACTCTTGTACCAATCGGGGCTAACATGCAATATCTGTTGCTTTGAATTTTATTTGAATTCTCAAAATAAAGAGGAATTAGGATGTTGATTTTACACAATTTGTATGGGGAGACTAATGGGACTGTGTTCTCTAATCTGTGTGCAGACATAAATCAGAATACCAGTTAAACAAAGAGGATTCAACGCTATGTTTTCAAGGGAATCACTTATAATTACCTCCATTCTCAACATAATTATTTAGAACCAGTTACAGATGATATCAATTCGTTGATCTATCTTCCTCTGTAAAGGAGGTGCTGAGATAATCGCAGGTGAAGGTGAATCCAGAGACCTTAGCAAATATGAGGAAATTACAGTTGAAATCTACCCTTTGTACTCTGGTACCTGAACTGGCTGCATACTTTGAGATGTGCCTCTAATGGAGGAATTGATTGCAGGAGAAATTGAGCATTCAGTCTCATGAATTCTGGTCTACATGGAGTTAATATTTACAGATGCATCTTATGTCAGCATTTCATTTTAAAAAGGAAAACTCCAATTTATCAAAGGTCGATTTTTCCTTTTCCCTCCACTTCTGGAATCCAGGACCTCAATTTTAAAATGAAAATAAATAACTTATTTGGCATATGGTTTTAAAAAAAGAAAAAAGAAAATGAAAGTTTGTTTTCCCCCCCTTTTTCAGCCACACTTCCTTTCAATTAATATATTTGGATCTAGCGCTTGGGAAGGAAGACCTTACCCTGCTTGACTATCAGGTCAATGTCCCAATGAAGATGTTTCATTAAATTCGAAGCCATAATCAGCTAAATGATCCAAATCATAGAGCTGTAGTCCGACCAAATATTCAGTCCCCGTAGTAGACATCATTACCATCGCACATTCTCAGACTTCTGCTCTCTCAGCCACAACAAAAGGGCCTGCTCCCCATTTTTTACACGTCAAGGTCGATAACATGCCGCACTGAGCTGTATCGGTTACTCTCACCCCCCTTTCACCTCGATTTTAGGCCATTATTAATACTGGAACGATCACCATATTTCTATTAGAGCCTTATGTCTGTAAGCAAAACAAACCAAAGAAGTTCATTTTAACCTAAACTGACTTGAAAGTCATCAATTTACCTGAATTGGGATTTCATTCTTTCCTCTCTTGTGGTTTATATGCCACAGACCACATCTGCGTTCTTCAAAACCCAAATTACCCATAACGTCCAAAAGCAAAGCCCAGTCTTTTCTTTAGCAGTCCCATGTGACCATCCAGGTCCATCCTGCAGTGACCCACACCTGACCCAGCTTGGCTTTATTTACATTAGTTTGCATGACTTTGATGGAGGACTCCACAGTGAACTTGGATGCTGACAGGAAGTATAGTTTAAGGCTGGATAAATATTATCTCGTGGACTGAATAACTACCTCTCAAGTGCTTCTTCTGTAAATATTGCGTAATTGTGATTAATTAGCAGACAGACCCCAGCTCCATCTGACCCCAGCTGGCTCAGTGAAGAGCCCACTTTAACTGTATGACAGCTCGTCTCTTTTTAAGGCTGTAATCTAATTAGTCTGGGTGATTATTCAGCCATTTCAAACGTCGCCTTTCCTTTTCCTTTTTGTTACCCTCCGCATGGAGAAAAGGCCAATAAAAAAAAAACACCATTAGGTTTATGCAAATGTAAGCGGCCATTCTGAGGGGCTGTAATGTGGCGAACTGATTACTCTGGGGACTGCAGGAGAAGTGTGTATCTGTGCTGAGGTGGTGGAGGGAGTCGTCGTTGTACACAGATGCTGCAATAAAAGCTCCTTTCAGCTTGTGTTCCTGGTGGCCCTCACAGGGAGGCATTAATAAAACATTAGTATTGAGTGACTGGGGGCCCCTGCGCTCCTCTTCGCCGATCCTGAAGTGACCTTTCCATTTTACAGCAGCTGTCCAAACCCGCCAAACAGCCCAACTGAGCCCCCACCCTCCTTCCGACCTCTGCAGGTGTACCCTGCCACAGAAAGCTGCCAACTTTAGGAGAGCTCCGCAAAAGAAATTAGCTGTTTATCTTTGCCAGTCTCTGAGGGGGAGTTGGGGGGTGACGAGGTGGGTAAAAGGCCTTCAAGATGGACAACAGGGCATTTGTGGATATTATAGTTTATAGTTTAGTTGCACCTGAGGAGATGTAGAAGATTGCAGCTTTGAGGAAACTTTCTCCTGTTTAGACCAAACCGCTGGTTGACTGTTACCTACAGCTACCTAATGATCCTGACATCACACTAATGAGAAATCCTAATGTTAGCCCAATTTGTAATTCATGATTGCTAAAGAAAGCCTTCAGATTACAGCTAAAATATCAAATATTAAGCTAGTTTGACACATTGGAAGGAGAGAAATAGTACCTATACAACCCCTTTTAGTTTAGACATCTTAGGTGGGACATCTACTAGTCTCCGACTTTCACTAAGGAAAGTTTCACCTCACTTTACATTTCTGCTGTTACAGGTTCTGGGGTGGGTGGCTGGGGTTACACCTCCAATCCAATTTTAAGTCACCACAGCATTTCAGATCAAGCATAGAGAAATACGTCCTTATTTTACCTATAGTGCACATTTGCTCTGACTGCAATATAACCGTACCAGTTTATGTAACATGAGGTAATGGGTAATTTGAATTGATTGGCTAAGCTATTGCCATTTGATATTCATCATTGTATTTAAATGCATTTATTAAACTTTTTTTTCCTTTTAGATGGAAAGCCGCCTTTGGGTAGGCAAGGGCAGTGGTAAAACCCTGATGCTATGATAACATTAAGCAAAAACATATCCTGGTGTCCTGGTGTTAATGATGACAGCTCTATTGCTGAAATATCTGAACCAAAAAAAGAAATAATTGCTCAATTGTGGACTGATCGTTGGAGTAAGCTCAGGCACTCTCTTTCTCCCTTCATCATACAACTTGACCTGTAGAGCTAGCAGCTACAGGGAATTTTGTGCCAAAAAATTTACAAAAAAGTTAAAACAATCCACTTGACTTTGTTTCCAAGTTTAAAGACGTTTTGCTTCCCACCCAGGAAACTATTTTGGAAAATGAATATGACCTCTCTGTTGATGCATGCAAGCATATACCACAAAAGTTCATTGGTTTTGAAACTGAGACTTTTTTGTTACGGGGTCAAAAGGTATCCAGCTGATTGGCCACCAATTTAACCAACTTATTTTACGACAGCTGCATCTCTGTTCCTTTTTATTTTTTGTGTAATTTCCCTTTATTCTGGATAACGTCCCTCTAGTTTAAAATAATTCTCATAAATTAGACATTTAATAATGAAACTTAGTACTATGAAATTATTTAAACGGAAAATTAGGAGGATATATTTGCAAAGGGTTAACAAGAAGTTCAGTATTGCAGACGGCGATCTGAGAGACTTATAAAGTTGTTTACTCCTCTCTTGACTGCCATGAAAAACCTCAGTGTTTAAATGATTACAAATAGTTTTCCAACAGCGGCGGCTCCTGGTTCAGAGTCTCTGACCTCGAGTCTGCGGTCTGCCGCATCTAATCGGAGTGAGAGGGGCACAGAAATACAGGAGGTGGGACCAAGAGGAGCAGAGTGTGACAATCCATCACACACTTTAGAACTATATGAGCAGTAATGGACTAATGGGAAGGCAGGACCACCTCTTCATTTCTGCTGAATTAGCTCTGGGTTGGCTGCCTCTTAACAACAGACGATGTCAGCAATGTGTCGGCCTGTGTGAGGGAGCGCGAGGGTATACGAGTGGAAAACAAGTGGTTTTTATCACCGCATGAAACCCAACAATACTACCAGTGAATACTTGAACAGCTGACTGGTGGTTTCCAGCTGCAACAAAACCAAAAGGGAAGGGAACGCACACACACTGTTTTTCTCTCTAACCCCAGCTGGAAGTTGACAACCTCCAGAGAAATATATTTTTAGGCAGGCAGTCTAGTCTATTATTCTTGACGCTTCTGCTAATCTTACTCTTCACTTTTCCTCATACATCAACTAGGTTTTAGGTTTCCTTTAAATACTACGGTAATAGGGGACCTCTGTCACAGACCTTTTAATAAAAAAAAAAAAAAAGGCCACATATGCAAGTCCTAATTAGGATCCTAGAATGGATTAAATCTCCAGCAGAACACTTGTATAACATCTTCACAAATGCATATCCCACCTGAGCCTCACAGCCTCAAATAGAAAAAGAAAGAACCCCTGTGGGTGAAGAAGCATAACTTGACGAACAGGAAACCGGAGAGAGCCCCTTCCCCCCCTCCCTCATCTCAGCTCTAATTAGGCTAACATGTCGTCAGTGGCAGTGGGCTGGTGGCTGGCGTAACTGAGAATTCATAAGTATGTGCTGCCTTGATCTTTTACAGTCAGGCTGTCTGTCTCCATCCCGGCACACATGAAAAAAAAAAAAAAGACTCCGCTACCATGGCTACAGCAGCCATACCAGCAGCTCCATAATGCTAAGCCCCCAGCTTCAACGTCTCCAGCTGTTTACTGTAGACACAAGCCACGCCTAAGCCCTCTGCTCATTACTTACTTCCTCTTAAAAACTCCTCCAAAAACTGGAGTCTGTTTGGAGTGCGACTGATGAGAAAATGACTTAAAAAATCTACAGCATGTTTTTAAAGTTTTGATTTAACTCCAGGTTGGTTAAACTTAAAAGTTCAAGATAATAAAAATTTACCCTAATATTTCAAAAACATTCATAAGAATAAATATTTCAAAATGATGTTGTTTTTCCAATTATTTGGTCACTAAAGCAATTTCCATATTTTGCTATATCTCTTAACTATTCAGTTTGTAGACGCTGTGTGCCGTGGCTTCTTGTATAGAAAACTGTTATGTGTCTAAACGAACACTTTTTATAGGAATGTCTTGATACAACTTTTTTTTATTTCCAATTTCAAACCTATCTTGCACCTATTGGAACTGACCTATACAGATGTTAATCAGACACTATATGAGCACAAATAATACATTTATTATTTCTTTTTGTAGTGTGTAGAATGATAGAAAAGGGTTGATCAAGTAATCTTACTCAAATCGAGAACAATGGTCAGCAAAAGTAGATATGACAACAACTGATTCCATTTATCATTAACCAATAGGTAACATAAGCTTTAGACAGAAGCAGGCGCAGGCCGATGTAATTCGATTTGGGTTTTTATCCCCATATTGGGTGGATTTCCGATGTTGATATCGTATTGGGACAGGGCAGCTAGCTTACAAGGGTAAAAAACAAATATAAACATTTTAGAGCTCAAAATACGATTTTTTCTTAATGCTATGAATAAAAAAAATGCTTTTTATTGATTTAAACTACATGTCTCAGTTCAATTTCATCACCTAATTTACGCTGGTCCCTCAATTAATACAATCAACATTATCACAAAAATTACAATTTCATTTAAAGCAGTTTAGTACGTTGTGAGTAAATCATTCTTCCATATCCTGGAGACGGGGAACCATCTCCTCCCTTGCTGTGTGCCAAATCTATAAAAAGACCCCTGAACTGCTGTTAATCCTTGGAACAGAACAGATTGCCCCGTCAACACATTCTAATCCTATAATTCAATGTATAAATACGAAGACATTTGCGATATTTTTATTTGAAGGAGGCGACGGTGACATGTGATCTTGCATAAAATACGTTCTTGAACTTATCCAGAGGGCCCTTAACATGATGAATAGCCTCTTACACCTGCTTTCAGTTAAACAGGTTGTCTGTCTGACCCCTGCAGATCAATCCGCCCGCTCCAGTCTTCTCTACACAGGAAAAGCACAGACCCGATCGCCCATCTCTACACCTCGCTCCACTCACTGTCAGAGGCCTCAGCTCGCAGCCCTGGCTTTGTAATTAGCATCACCGCTGACATTCTTTCTAGCCCATAAACTTCACCATGTTTGTCCAACACCCGGTACTTAGATAATCTTTAACAACGGTAACCCCTGGAAACCAGAAAAACAGTTTGGGGCTTTAAAGTGACCGCCTCAGGTCCGAAGCGGCACTCACCCAGAGCTGGAATGTAACAAGGTGGTAGAAGCTGATTTATGCCATTCATCTCTTTACAGTGGGCTTAAATCGGTACTGTGCTGCTAAAATTTGAAACCGCCACCAATATTTACTTTGTTTCCAAGGAGCCAGACCTTCTGTAGGTTTAAGAACGTTTAATGTAGCTGCAAATACTCACCCAGGAACCTTGTAGAGACTGCGGGTCTAAGAGGGCAGGTACTTCCACGTGCTGACGAAGGCAGTAGGAATGAGAGAGTACGGCACGCTGGTCACGCTGTCCCAGGAGTCTGATGACGGGTCGTAACAGTCTAACGTCTTACACCTCTGAGCCCCAAAGTAGCCTCCAACCACATACAGCCTGTTCCCCGATGCCACGGCATGGCAGCTGATTCGCTTGGCTGTGACATCACCAAACTTTGTCCACTGATACGTCTCGCTGTTGAAACGGTACGCAGAGCTTGCGGAGAACTCTGTGTCGCCTCCAATTACGACGACATGGTTGCCGACGACAGCCGCCGCCGTGTACCGCCACAGCTGTGGGCAAGCTGCCGGCACCGACCACCGGTTCTGGCAGGGGTCAAAGCACTGCACCTTGGGGTATTTGTCTCTGTTTACGCTGGTCCCTCCAAAAGCAAAGAGTTTGTTTTTGGCGCCGACAACGGCGGCGTTGCTCACACCTTCCCTCAGCGGGGCCACTAGGGTCCATTTGTTGTTCTGCGGGTCATACTGTTCAACTTGTTTCAGAGACACAGACGGAGACGCAGGAAACGATCCCGCCAGAGACGTGTGCCCCCCCACCACGTACAGCATGTGGTCAAGCTCTGCAGAGCCATGCCCAAATCTGGCTACCAGCATCGGCGCCGCTTTAGACCACTCGTCATGCAATGTGTCATACACCCAGACATCTTTGGAGGCTCCATTTTCAGAGCCACGGCCTCCGGTAACATAAACCTAAGCCAAAACAAAGAGAAAAAAGATTAAAGTAGTTCTAAAGATGACGTTATAACATAACACATAACTGAAGCTCAGCTTACAACACATACCTTACAACCAATGGCACAAGCACTGCACTCTTTCCTGGGACTTGGGATATCCGTTTTGGGTGTGATCTCCTTGGTCTTATTGTCAATCATGTAGACTTTATCACACATGAAAGTCTGTCCCCCAAGAAGCAGCAAGGCCTGGCTGACTTTTCTGGGGCGCGCACAGAACCCTGTTACAATGCCATCATTCTGGAGAATCCTCATCTTGCACCGTACTGCGTCTTCTACGATCTCCCGCCCCACCTTGTGGCACATGACCAGCTCCTCCGAGGCGACGTTCTTCAGCAGGTAGGACTCCGGCAGCAGAGCTAAGCGCACGCAGCGCAGCAGATCGGGCAACTCGCTGTGCCGCTGCTCCATATCTGCCTTCACCCAGTCTATGACAGCATCGTACACCAGACTCTCGTCTTCCACCTCTAGTTCTTCGCTGAGGATCAGTTCCTGGACTTTATCTTTTGGCAGGCTAAGAAAGTCCTCTGTTTTGAAGAGGGTAGCAAAGTTGGCCAAACACATCCTCCATGACAGCTCGTACAGCCTCTGACATTGGTGCGCGTCTGACAGCAGCATCATCCCGAGACAATTAGAAGGATGGAGGTTCTTTTCTAGGAATTCGGCCGCTGCGTCACGGATGTCGTGGAACTGAAGCATGTCCCCAGCTTCAAGCAGGGACTCTGCGTTCTCCTCATTGATGATGACCCGAGCCGAATAGGCGTAGTCGAGCAGGAGCTCCAGTACCTCAGGGTGGAGGGAATCATGGAAGTTGACGTCAGCATCCCGACTCTCCCTGAGGCCACCGCTGAACATGGCCTCAAAGTAGCGACTGCAGGAGGCCAGGACGGCGCGGTGGCACGGGAAGGAGCGGTTTCCAGCTTTTAACACGACGTCGGTGAAGACTCTTCGCTTGCGTAGCAGGTTCAGCTGCGTCAACAGGCTGTCGGCGTGTGACGTCTTGTGGAAGAGCTGGATGTTCATCGAGCCGGAGCTGGAGCGTGACTTTCGGTTTTCGTGGTTGCTCACTGACATCGTGACTTTGACCTGGCAACAGCAGACAGTAGGAAAGTGTCAAATTTAACATTGTTTTTATTATAGCATCTGACTAATATTAAGGACAATGTAAAAGAAAGTTAAAGACGGAAAGACAGTTAAATCAAGGTATAAACACATAATTAGATGATGGATCAATTAAAGAAATGTTTGGTTGAATTAACTTATGAATTAACAAATAATATAATCATGGATGGAAAATCTAATAATTAAACAACGAAAAACGTGAAATTTTGAATCCATTAATTTATGGATTAATGGATTCAAAAACATTAATAAATAGAAAGACATCCAAATTAAAAGATGGATAATAGCAACAAATAAATAGAAAACTAAACTCACACCAAAGGATTAATAAATACTACATATAATCACATATACTGTACGTATCAAGCACTAAAACTCCAAACTTTTCTGATCTTTGTAGCTGTCCTCTCCACCTTCTTTTGATGCGACCGCTGGCTCCTTGTTATGTGAATAAATAAACCCAGCAGCTGATGAATGATTGCTCAAAAAATAAAACCCTTGCCTCAGCTAAACGGAAATGAACTTCAGACTGTAGAGAGATGAAACGGGATCTGATAAGGGAGCACTCCCAGTGACAAACCAGCATGTGTACACTGTGTGCCACAGAGATTTGCACTGCAAGAATCCAGCAAACATGCATCACTGTCAAGACCTCAAAGACAAAACAATAAAAATGACCCATATTAACTTGTCTTTGAGTATAATTACAGTAAGAAACACCTGGGTGTGTGATCCTGATTCACAGCTCACTGCCCCTATAAACAATTGAGGGCTGTGAGTCACCATCCAACTAATTCCTGCCTGCTTGTTCAGTTCCTCAGCTGGATCACATGGAAGATGATGCCAAAGGCAAAGCTTTCAAACCCACATTTTGCACTGACACCTCCAACCAGCTCCTTCAAGACCAAATTATATAATTAGACATTATATAATACTATTTTTATATCATTTTTAATTTGAGTGTGCTAAATCACAGATCCTGCACACAGATTATTTAATTTCATTGGTATACTATGTTAAACCCAGTCATTACACATTAGTAAAGCATTTACTTCTGGGAAAAGATCTGGGTTTAAAAGGCTGCACTCTGCTTGAAAGCGACCAAATGAATTTCTTCCGCTTTAAAGCTTTTTTTTTAAAGCGCTTTTGTTTCTTAGTAGATAAATTTAAGTCGGCTATTCACTTTGACTGAAAAGGCCGGACTTCCGTGGAGGGTTTCTGGTTGAAATCCAGCAGTAAATGAGGAGCCCTGCTCAGCAGTTCACCATGCGCTCAACTTTCCTCCAAACTTAGCAGCAGTTTGGCTGCTGCTTAGCGATCCGACATCAAAGCCCGAATTACAGACCATTGCAAACACTATTAGAGGTGCAGATAAACACCTAAAACAGTATAAAGTTAAACTTTTTTGAAAGGATTAAGCGTATTAACTTACCGTTAGTAGGAGCAAGCAGGGTCGGTCTGGGATTCCTTTATCTTGGCTACAACTTCGCCTTCGATCTCTTTGAAGTTGCGCCGCAATTTAGACAAATCTGCTTTTTAAATTAACAGCCTTATCTAACCCCAAACGTCTAGTAAACGGTAAAAACGGACGGGCCATTTGTTTACTGGAAAAACTAGGAAGATATCCGAGGAGTAACAAGGTGAAAAGTTAGTGTCTCCAAAGACAGGCAGCGGTTAGAGTCTGAGAGGAGAGAAAAGAGCCGAGGCGTTAGAGCTCCTCTGACTCCGCCCACCCAGCTGCGACTGGCCAATCAGATGCGACTTCCTCTGAAAAGCTTCCAGCTCTATTCATTCATTGCTTTTAATCGCAAAGAACCGCAATAAATCAACCGAAAACACCTGTCATTGGATGCGTCAGCTGACTTTAACAGAAGAAAGGGTTGAAGTGGAACAAAACAATAGAAGAACTTTTGTTATTCAGTTGTATTCAATATTAACTTTTTTTTCCTAGGGGACTTATCAGCTCCTAATTGAAGCCAATTATCTTGGAGGTATGCTAGCAGGGGTATAACATGATTTCAGAAGCTTAATCTTTAAAATGGGGGCGTTTTTAAATTGAAATATTGCCTCTTGCTTGAAATCCAACCTCTCCCTGGTGAAGGAGGAACCACATAATTATTAAAACCCACAATACATTATCAGCATTGAGTGCCACAATTCAGTAAATAATCCATCCATCCATCCATCCATCCATCCATCCATCCATCCATCCATCCATCCATCCATCCATCCATCCATCCATCCATCCATCTTCCTTCGTTTATCCGCGGTCCGGTCGTGGGGGTAGCAGCTTCAGTAGAGAGTTCCAGACGTCCCTCTCCCCAGCCACTTGGGTCAGCTCTTCTGGGGGAACCCCAAGGCCTTCCCAGGCCAGCCGAGAAACATAGTCCCTCTAGAGTGTCCTGGGTCTCCCCTTGGGTCTCCTCCCGGTAGGACGTGCCTGGAACACCTCATCAGGGAGCCGTCCAGGAGGCATCCTACCCAGATGCCCGAGCCACCTGAACTGGCTCCTTTTGATGTGGAGGAGCAGCGGCTCTACTCTGAGTCCCCCCCGGAGATGACTGAGCTACTCACCCTATTTAATAAATGCACAATTGATCATATTGGTCTCAAATAAATGGATGCATTTTTTTATTAGTTAAACATGATTATTTCATGATTTTACAAGTTATTTCATGTTACCGTGCTAAAGCAAACCATATTTCACAGTGGGGATGGCATTGTATCAGATTTAATATTTTCTCTGCTTGAAAAATGGTGAACATGCTTGTAATTGTTTAGATAGAGATAAAAACCGCAGCTTCAAGGATATGACAATTATACCTAAATATGAAAAATATTTGCTGTGGTTAACTTGTCCCTTCCAGATATTATGGCGATTGACTTTTGTTGTTTTTTTTAATTATGTACTGCAAGACAACAATGTCAGTTTTTATCTGTAGTGGAAATAACAAGTAGTTGACCAGATACATAAGTGAATACAATTAAGTATAAGTACAGATCACAATCAACTTGAAAAAATGTTATCATACTTTGCTTAAAACACCTTTAAGGATCTTTTAAGCACAACGTAGCATTTATTACTCCAGCTATGACAGATGAACAAACAGAATTACTTTATGAAATATGGAATACTTTTATCTTATAATGAAGAAAACAGATAAACCACACTGTGCTTGATAAAGAAAATAAATGTAATACTGTGCAACTTTGAAATGCTCTAATATTGCAGTTATCATAAACCAGTCATGATTCTATTACTGTTCTGAGACAACCAACTCACACGAGCAGTGACTAAATTATTCAGGTTTTTCCAGCGAGAAGCTGGATTATTCTTTCTTTACATTGTTAAGCCTAGCTTCAATGACTGAATGATACATCAAAGCCTCCACTGCACAGTCACAAGAACAAAGCTCTCAGTAATTGTTAAGAACTGCTTTGAATAAAAAAAGCTATTGTGCTTCCAGTGAGAAAGCTCCACAAGTCACAGCTAAATATTGCTACAGCAATACATTGCTGTGCCATGAACAAGTTGTCCCATTAAGGATTTTTCTGGTATATTCTTTTTTGCTTTACTTCAATGTTTCAGATCATTAAGTCAATTTTGATATTTGTGAAATAACCTAGCAAATTTAAAAAAGAGCCTTTTTTAAGTGACGAACAACCAAGACGTGACATATTTACTGGCAATGATAGCTGTCCAGGAGTTTGTTATATGGTCATGGAGGGATTTTGAATCACTCTTCTATGTAGAATTGTTTCATTTAGGTCACACTGGAGGGTTTTTCATTGTGAGTGAGCTTTTTAGAAGTCCCACTCCACTATCTGAATCAGATACATCTTCTTACCATGAACAGGAAACTCCAAGACCTTCGTTTGGCCTGTCAGAGGTGAGATAGTTGATGCTATCGGTTCTTTTGACCCCAGTGTTTGATTGACTCAGAATGATCCTATGTTGCTGCGTTAGTTTTGCTCCAGATCTAATCTGACTCGCACGCTTCAGAAATGACCCTTTCATCAGAATTAAGAGATTATTTTGGAATTTATATATTCCACTCTTTTAGCTTTTGTTCACCTTTTTGTAAGCTTCATTTTAGGCTGGAATTATAAACATTTACACTAGATTCTCGCTTCTAGATATCTATCACTCTGTGCAACTAATTTCAGATTTTTTGCATTTTAACAGTAAAATATACATTAGTGCTGTTTAACACTCATCAGCTCAGCTAACTCTACACAGACCAACAATCCCAGTGAATGATCATATGATTGAAGGTCTTTCCAAGGCGCCTGAAATAGCTTATTTAGTCGAATTCCTGACATTTTCTGCAGGATCTGAGTACTTGTAAGGTTTCCAAGAATTTATAAAGAATGTCCCCGCATTTCAAACAGGCCTCCACAAAGAAACATTGATTTATTTTGACTGAAAAATTATTTCAGTCAAATTCCGCTTGCACAGAAATCAAGACCCAATACTGAACAATACATTATTTCAAGAGGTGCATTTTAAGGTGGAGGCGTGGGCTGTTTCTATTAAAGCTTGAGTGACAGATATGTTTAGGTATTTGAGAAATTAAAAACATCTTTCCCAGGACATGCCCCAACATGTTCTCAAGGATATTTAAACATAAAAGAGAAGTTGCCCTGTATTTAGGTGTGCCAGTTTCTCTATTGTGCAAACTGCTTCTTTGGTTTACTGATGGAGCAGAGTCATTGTTTGTGTCATAAGCGTTGCTGCTTTTGTGTTTTGACAGGCCAAAAAGTTTGCACTTCAAAGGAGTTATGTGAAACTTCCTTTGAATTTGTACATAGATTAAGGAGATGAGAATTCCTTACAATTATGTGCATACATACTAATGTATGGATATTGATATTTAATATGCGTATGGCAGACCCATTTTTTTTTGTTTGTACTGCACTAAGTGACCTCTGGCAGCAGGACCCCCACTTGCAGAGTAGATTCCACACTTCTCAGGTTTCCCCTCCTCTCTATAAGCTCTTCTTCTTCTCTCTGTCACTCAGCAGCTGCTTCTGATGCTTCAAAGCTGCTGCTGTTCCTCAGCTGTCACAGTTTGCATGGATGAGAATATGTCTCTGTGCATTTTGCAGTATTCTTTCATTTCATGCTCCACTTCTAATTGTTTCCACCATGATAGCCTCCAATCTCACCAATGCTCAAAATATTTGGCCTTGCAGAAGTACTCATAACTCTGAGCTTTTCCAAATTCTTTAGCATTTAAACTGTAAAGTTTGGTCAATTTAATGTTTTGATTTTGAGAGACAGACAAAGACAACGTTGTGTATGGTTGAAAAAATAATGTAGGTGGATTACAATTTCTATTAATAGAACAATATGAAAAGTGAGACATCTATTTTAATTTATTTTTTTTAAGAATATCTACATCTAATAATAATAAATTGCATCTCTAGAATAGCGGCACTGGTCCACAACTTAAGGTGGAAGTTCTTTTAATTTTGGCTGTTGTTGGAAAGTTGCCAAAAGAAAGCCAAATCAAGTAATTTTGCAGTTTCCCACAACCCGATATAGGTGACCTTGCAAAGAAGGTGCGATGTCAGATTGGACCAAAACTCAACTTCAAAAACTAGAACTACAAAATATGCAATACATTCCTGTGTTTGAAGGGAGCAGTAAAACTCAAGAGCTAAATCCAACTTGGAATATGTAGAAAAGAATCTCATTTAAAAAAAATGCTCTCTTTTCAATATGACTTGGCTTAAACTATTTTAATAAGAGAAAAATGGGCAAAGGTTGCAGCGCAGCAAAACTGGCCCAAACACACCCCACAATATTTAGTGTTTCAATTTTAAAAAAAGGGTAATTTCACAAAAAAAGTATTCAGATTTTTTATCCTAAACACCTAAAAGCATGTATCAATTTCCGCCATTTGCTAATCATCTATCATGGTCATGGTCTATCACATAAAAATCTGACAAAACATATTCTTTTTTTCTAGACAAAATGAGAAAATGTGTATAGGGTGTGAATCACTTTACAAGCTTTGCCCTGTTTTCCCACCCAGTGGTCTCCAGCTACAGTCAGGGTGTGACTTCAAAGCATCGCTAACCACATACTTTTTTAATTTATATTTTCATAAGGCTGGCTGGGTTTACTGGAGCCTTGTCTGAAAGCCGACTGGTCCAAATTCTTAAACACACACAAGTGTGCCTGAAGGAGATTAAGATTTTAAAGAGATTAGATTAATGAACCCATGATCATAATCTCAGGCTAATTCATTTTACAGCACTCTGACCCTCCCCCTCTTTCAGCCAAGCTCTTCTGTGAATCCAGTTTTGTGTAACTCTCCATTAAATGCTCAAAGGCGGGCACGCCACTCATTAGACCCCCAACAATAATTCCCTGATGCTCCAAGCCTCATCAATTCTGCACTGTCCGTTTGCAAGACAGTAACCGTCACTGTATTGTTGCCAAAGGGCTCAATACACCACATGTTTGTTCACTCAAAGCAGGTGGTCTTAAACTGAGGTCAACGTCTGAAACATAAGAAGAGGGGTCATTAGGGGGCCATCTTCACTCCAGAAGTGTCATCACTGAACAAATCAGAGGTTCTTACAACCATAAAGGAATGTGGAAATATTCCTGTAAAACAATAAAACTAATAAACAAAATAAAATACAAATGATTTTCTATGCTAAAATAATAATGTTAAAGCTCAATAGATTAGTATTAACAGCATCTTTAAGCAGGTAGAAGAAGATCAGGTTATTGATCCATGTATATGTTTGTTGGTACATTTAACAAAATAACCAATAGTAGTGTATTTTGCTGCAAATTGGCTGTGCGGAGTGTGTCTCCACCTTGTGGTAAACACACAAAGATGTGAGCGACAGATAGGGGTTAAAGATCGTAGTCCAACTGCAAATAATAGTGATGTCATTTTTTTTTTTTTACATAATTGAAAAACTCCACAACCATAAAATCAAGATAAACAGGTTGTTTTTACATCATTTTTGCCATAGGTGAAGTATATAGCAACACTGTTCATCTTGAGTAATTTACTGATTCTTTTTAAGAGTTTTAGTTGCCAGAATTATGTAAATCAAATTACTTTGTTAATCAGATACCTACCTGTAACATGGTCAAAGAGATGAGTTCAAAGCTGCTGTTTCTCTGCTCATCTCTTAGACCTTCTCCTGTCCATTACAAATAAGGATAATAATGATAAAACCCCTGGTGTAACCCCATAGTTTTGAGGGTTGGCAGTTGAACCTTAAGGTAAATGTACTTCAGTCTGAAAAAAAGCTAAAGGTGACATGGTCAAGTTTAAAGCAAAACAGCATTCACACTTCACAAAGGTGAACCTGATCTGAGCACATGGACACCCATCAGACATTTCAATGGTGTCTCCTGAAGAGAAAATCCCGGAGACTTTTTCCCTTAAAATATCAAATGGTTCCCTCATATAAAAAAGAAAAAAAATAAGTTATTTTACTTACACCCAAAACCTTTAATTCCCCACCTCAGTAACACAATCATTCAAACCAACGCTCTCAAAAAAATATTAGAAAAACTCATAACCATGATTAATGCAACTAGCTTATGCACTAGTACTACTACTAAACTCAGGGGTTCCAAACATGCAAGCTGTCCTTTTCATGCTGCCCTGGGAAAATGGCAATACGGCCCTCGGCCAACAAACATCAATAAATTGCACCGTTTCGGTTGAAGGGGCTTTTTTATTTTATTTTTTTTAAACAATTAAAACAATTACATTTGAATAATCTAAAAACACTTTAAAATTAAAAGAGATTGAATCAAACATTAAATGATAAAGAAACAGGGAATGAGTTTTACTTTACAGATAAATTACACTAACCCCAGACAGATCCATTAACTGCTATACCACCTTGGATACTTTCTGATGCTGAAGTTGATCTTTCATTATTAGAAAAGAAGAAGAAGGATACATTTCTAATTATGAATAAATGTATAGTACAATAAAACTTACATATAAATTATGATGACTATATACAAACATACACAGATTCATAAAAAAAATACAGCAAATAGGGTAGGGATGGCATTTATTATACCACAGTTTCAAATTAAGGTAGGGAAAAGGATTAGTGATGGAGTTTCAGTGGAGAAATGCTTGCTTTGCTTTTAGCAGTTCAATGGGTGGAAGAGGTAACACCATTAAAATCATTTGTTCAGATTCTAGTTTGTCATTAGTCAGTTTGCAAAATAATCAGTCAGACAGTAGGCCAGATATATTAATTGAAATACACCAAACACTTTACAGAATAAATATGATGGGGCTAGTAGTAAATTTTGTTTGGGTTCCGGCACATAACGAGATTAAGGGAAATGAAATGGCAGACAGGATGGCTAAGGAGAGTACAAATAAGGTAAGGATAGATATTCATGTTAGTTTTAATATAACAGAAATAAAGGGTATACTTAAAAACAAAAACAAAAGAAAGGGTGGCAAAAGTTATGGGAAGAAGAAAAGAAAGGAAGGTGGGTCTATAAAAACCAAAAGGAGAATTGGACAAATGAGAAGAACAGAAAAGGAACAGAAGAGAAGAGATTATTATTTTACGACTTAGAATAGGACACACTACGGAAGAGGATTAGGGCCACTGAAAAAATCAAAAAAGTTAACTGATTTTTACATTTTATTTCAGTATAATATGAAAAAAAATTCTGACTTTAATCTCAGATTTCTGACTTTTTTCACAGAATTCTGGGTTTTTTCTCACAATTCTGACTGAATTCTGACAGCTAACAAACATTTTAGCATCATACGGAAGAGGATTAGGGCCACTGAAAAAAAAAAGAAAAAAGTTAACTAATCTTTAAATATTATTTCAGTTTAATATGGAAAACAAGTCAGAATTCTGACTTTAATCTCAGAATTCTGACTTTTTTGCAATATGAAACTGAAATAAAATTTAAAAATCAGTTTGTTTGTTTTTGTTTTCCAGTGGCCCTAATCCTCTTCCGTAAACATGTTATTTTGAATTGTAGGAAATATTTGATTTGGAGAAACAAGTTAATTAGGAAAATGAAACTTGACATTGTTGATTTACTGAATCAGGAAGCAGAGGATATCAGGTTAAATTTGAGTTTTTGAAACAGATTAAATTGTATAACAGGATATATTGTTTTCTTTTTTGTTTTTTGCCATGTAGTCCACACTCCTTACCAGATGGTGGCGGTAATGCTCACCTAAAGCTTTTGCTAACCGCCAAAAAAAAATTTAAGAAGAAGAAGAAGAAGAAGAAGAAGAAGAAGAAGAAGAAGAAGAAGAAGAAGAAGAAGAAGAAGAAGAAGAAGAAGAAGAAGAAGAAGAACTACACTACCCACAATGCAGTTTTTTTTTTTTCACGGAAATGACGTTGAGCGACTTCCTTCTCTGTCAAGGGCACCGAAAATTGCACTAACCCGAGCAGAGGCTGGCTGCACGTGTAACTGTTAAACAGCCTAATAAAGTGTTTGTCTTTAATCAGACATAAGTAGAAATGGACGGCTTCGGCTCAGACTTCTCAGCAGGAGGTTCCGGCGGTAAAATAGACACCGGAACCATCATGGAGCAGGTTAAGGTCCAGATAGCAGTGGCTAACGCTCAGGAGCTTTTGCAGGTAAACCAATGGACCTTTGATGCTAAGCTAACCAGACACAGCTTAGGGTAACATGATTACCCGATTTTAAGGATGCTAAGTAGCCACATGTTGGCTTTTGATGCATATTCAGAAGCTGATAATGTAATAACATGTCCACTGTTTTATATTTCAGAGAATGACTGATAAATGCTTCAAGAAGTGCATAGGAAAGCCTGGTAGCTCATTGGACAACTCTGAACAGGTGTGTTCTCCAATGGGATTATTAGAAATTAGAAAGTATATGTTTATTATTACCATAGCAACCCATGGCAGAAGTTGACTACACTGCTGCTCAGGACCTCTAAAAGTGGAGGAAGCCCTAATGGATGTTTAAAAAGTTTAAAATTGAAGCTCTGCCTTTAATTTTGCCCTCTGATTAGGGCAAGTAAAAGTATCTTAACTTTAATATGGTTGTTAAAGAAGTGGTGATTGGATAGATATTGTAATTCAGTTGTCACAGATGCACCTTCTAAATCTTGGCATGTTTGCCTATTGCATAAAATGCCCTCTTTTTTTATGTAAGCTTTAGATGCTTACATCACTAAGACGGTTAGTAGTATTATGATAAAACAAAACCCAGACTATACAGGCGATTTATTAATTTCATAAAGAAAATATAAAATGTTTTCATCTTAACATATTTTTGTGATATTTCTCAGCTCTAATTATACTTTTAGGCAAAAATGTATTTGTTTGTATTACCTATATTTTGTTTTCTGGTCTTCTTAGAAATGCATTGCCATGTGTATGGACAGATATATGGACGCCTGGAACACTGTCTCCCGAACGTACAACTCCAGGTTGCAGAGAGAACGAGCTCGCATGTGAAGTTGGGCGGGGAAACAAACTCTCTACCTTCTTCACTTATTTCGGGTGGCTGCTGCTTTAAATGAGGACCAGCATAATCCAGCACTGGAGGTCCCCCGTTGGGGAAAACGTCAGCAGCGCAACATACCCCTCTGTCATTATCATTGGCAGGGGTGGCACCTGGACTCCTATCCACAACGATCACTGTGGACATTTTTACTCCTGAGGAAAAGGTCGCCTATTCAGTTGAAACGTTCCCATGTAATAAATGTAGTAACTCGCAGTGCAAAGTGTTATGTTTAACTGTTAAACAATCTGACTCAACAAAAAATGCTTTACATGCTAACAAGGGTGCGTGGGAGGAAAAATGGAAGAAATCAAAGCCCTGTATGTGGAGTTCTCCATCAGCTCTCCATCTTCACTGTAAAATAAAGAAAACCTCTCCTAGAACTAAAGTATACATTTATACCCTCTCATTTATTATCCAAATCGATGCATTTTTTTTATTTTTATTGATTCCACTTCTAGATGAGGCTTGTTGCTGCAGAACATGACCCTCCTTTGCTCAGACGCTCACAAATCTTTGGCTTAAAGTCTTAGGTTGGCTGACAGTTGATGTGTTAATGCTCTTGGATAAAGCTTGCCCCTACTGTTAACTCTTGCCAATACCTGGAGGGAAAGATCTCTTCCTTGGAATATCTCTATGTCATTGGGTGCTATTAGCTTATAGGTAAACATAGAACTTATTAAATATCTTCTAGTTATAAATACACAACATTGACATTTTGGAAATATTAGCTGTAACTTCTAATGAACGAGGTGCCTTTTAAGTTTCTTAGTTGACATTTTTAGCCTTCTAGTCAGCCTATATCAAGCTACAGCTGAAGAACAAAACAGTTTTGTCTGACATGTTTCCTATGTGTTATTCTATCTGCTACCCGCCCACAGTGGTGGACTTGTTTCAGCCAGGGTCTGACGTGGGTAGGAGACGGCACCGTTCTCAGTTTTGGGAGTAAATGGTCATGCAATGAGGACAAACCCCCCAACTCCACCGCCGCACTCACATTTTAGAGGATGAAAAACTGTAAACATCGACTGCATAGTGATTGTGTGCATAATTGGGTAAACAAAATCAAAAATTCTACATGTATCCTATTAAACATGATCAAAGGAAAATTAGATGTTTCATTTATAAAGCTTACAAAGCTAAAATTTGTTAGAATGAACTTGAAAGATAAGTAAAAAGCATCAAAATGCTTTATCTTCTATTGCAACAGTGCATTCTCACACAGAATGATAAAATATAACCGTTACTTTGTTTAATTTACATCTTAATACCCATAGTTTTCTTGACTGAACACAATAGGAGCAGATGTAAAACAGCTCCTGGTTAGAGAAGTAAATGAAGGGGAAATCTGGGTTTTATCAGGTCTCCATGACAACCATTAACATCTACATGTAGACACAACATACCCCTTCCTCTATCCAAACCAGATTCCCTGAATTGATAGGTTTGTCCTTTCACTAAAAAAGAATACATGTTAGCCTGTCAGGAAACAGTAAGGATGTGAAAATACACCTCATGCCACCAGTTTGGTATAATAGAGGGTCTATGATACTGTGGGGTCTACTTTTCTTCTAAATAGCACCTGAAGCTGATAGTAGAGCATGTTATGAATGATTTGAAATTCTAGAACATTTAAATAAAACAAAAATCTTGTAAACCGCCAGCAAGTTGAACATTTTTGAAATTTTCATCAGGGGAAATGTAGGAACTAATGTGACCAAATCAAATCTATAAAGGTTTAATCAAACACTAAATAAAACTTCTATTTGTGTCTGAGACCCAGACAAAAATTCTGCAGAAAACCTGATGGGTGAGCTAAAGCAAACAGGAAAGGACTTCTGGTTTATGACCTAGAGAAACTACAAACAAATATCAAGGATGCCTCTCTCTCTAGATGCTCTAAATGTGTGAAATATTATAGAAGTGCTTTCCTAATAAAACAAGGTTGTACAAAATATTGACAGCATGATATCTAAATAATTAAGTTAAAAATACGTCTTAAAATGCATTACCTTCCTTAGTGTATTATTATATTATAATTTTCTAATTTTCAATGTGTGATTATACCACTGTGGTGGAAAATTTATTACTTTTAAGACATTTAACAAATCATTATGAGTGGTTAAGAAATATGACATGGTGACATGTTTTAGGTAATTAAAAAAAAAAAAGAAATCCATCTCAAACAACCCAAATAAAGACAGAAAGCAATTTACATATAATATACATTTAATAGGGAAAAAGCTTAACCAAACCAAACTGGCCATGTGAAAATGTTATTACCCCACTAACGAACATTGATTAATAATTTTTTATTTTTTTGTTTAACTTCATCCGTCTAATCCAGGGTTCTTACTTCCAAACACATAAAATTAAATATTTAAACAGAACAGAACCTCTCTGACAGGATGAAGTTGGCTAAAAGTCTTTAAAAAGCAGAATGACATGCCTTAATCTAAAGAAATTCAAGATTAGATGAGAAACCCAATCAATAAGCATCAATCAGCTTGTGAAGGGTTGTTAAACAATTCCTAAGTCTTTAGGATTTAAATGAACCACACTGTTGTTCACCAATGAAGCAGTGGCGAATCTCAGTGACTCAGCTTTAAAATTATTGATACTTCAGAAAGTATTGATACTAAAACAAGGTATCCGGATACATGACTAATTCGGCATAATAAGGATACCAAACAGAAGTGCTGTTTGCATATTTTTCTCTTGTTTACTTCAGATTACTGACTGATTGGCAAATTAAAATAATTTTAGTGTTTCCAGAAAGCCTGCAAATATTGTCCGTTTTTTTTTTTACATAAAAAGTATTTTTTATGCCTTCAATTATTTGTCATTTTTTATCCACATGGTATGGTATAAAATGGGGTTATAAAAAAAACAAATCCCTGAATGTTGGAACTGTAACTATACAGCCATATGTTTACATTATCACTGCTGCTTACCTTTATCAAGGCTGCACTTTAAAAAAGGAAAATGTCTTGAGAGCTGCACTGAACAACATTTCTTTTTGTATACACTTGTGAGTACAAAATGACAAATAAAGTCTGTCTAAGTATCAAGTATTGAACATTTTCTTGGATATCAATTTTCAAATTTGAGCATCTGAACCATAACAAGGACTAAGTTATATAAAAACCGAAAAAAAAAGTTTTTATCAGTTAAAGTCATTCATTATTCAGGCTGGCTGAATGTGTCACCAATAGGAGAGCGGCAAGATAAATCACAGCAATCATTTGATTTCTTATATTTAGATGATCTGAAAACTTCAAGATTTTAAACAGACTGCCTTTGTTAGGAGCAGAAGGGTTTGCATTAAAATACTTTGTTAAAAACAACTCCTATATGTAATGGCATATCCCATTGCGCTGCTGTCCCTGTTAATAGACCATAGAAAATTGTTCTTCATGTCGTACCTGAGACATCAAAGCTCTGTGGAAAGCTGCTGTTGCAAGGAATCAAAACATCACGCAAATGTCCGGATCTCCAGTATCATTCAGCATTCAAGCCTATCATTCAAGCTCCATGCTGTTAACTGTCAGTTTTTAACACTGATGCTAATCAGTGTACTATCAGAAAACCCAGCAGTATACAAATTAAAAGAAATAATACCATTACCATTATTCATACCCATCAGGAGAATAAATTAATGTAATAAATATTTGAATAATGCCTCAGTTTGTTGGTTGTGAGTTAGCCACACATAATACCTCATCAGAACATGGTGAGGGCTCCGGGTTAGGCAATGCAGTGTTGCAAACAGCACCCATGACACATATGTCAAAATTTTGTTAACTGAGCTTATGTTTATCTGGCCAAAGCCATGACTTTAGTCCTTGTACAGTACAGTTACGTGGAGGCAAATTATCTGTAAAATTCTGATGTTCTGTCTAGTTTTTTGTTTCCAAATCTCATCAGAAAGGTAGATGTGTTGATATCCACTTCCGGACAGACGTCACCCGAGTGTAAACCCCAGGAAAACCAGATCGTCCACATCCATGCCCCCAGCTGGTCACACCGGCAATAAACCACTGGCCAGAGTGGTGACGGCACGTCAGCGGCCCTCCAGAATCACCCTGGAATGGTCAAGAATAGGGTCATTAGATAGAACTAGAAAACTGTAAATAAACTTTTGGTCGCTGGTAAATAAAAACAGCTCAGAATCAGATAGTAGAGCCTAACAGGCAGCACATGGACTATTTTCTTAGCCTCTGGCTGAAATTGAAAAGTAACATAAGGGACATTTACAGAAATTAGAGATTAATGTTTCTAATAACTTTCTTTTCTTTCCAATTTAATTTTACAATAAATATAACCCCCAATATCCAGCAGCTGTGGGCTAAAAGCAGACTCTAAAAGAACGGTTTATTAAATATGCTCTTTAACAGCCAGAGTGACCAATATCTTGTCCTTGATGCATATAAGTAGTAAAAAACAAAATCTACCACACATGCAAATAGAAAGTAACTAACCTCAAAAGCTTTACCTTTAAGTGTTTTTCTTTTTTTTCTTTTTTTTTAGGTGAAAATGAGGAAACTTTGTATACCCTTGATAATGAAATATATAACAGATCCATTATGTAAAAAAGGAGACTAACTTTGTAGATTTAATAAAAATATTTCTGGTTTAGTCTATGATTGAGAAAATAAAAAAAAAACAATCACAATATTATTAATCTAATTAATGAAATAAATTGATGATGCCAGGTTCTTTGAACACAGCAGAAATTTATTTATTGATTGTGTGAGAAGTGCCAGAGATGTTATTTTATTTTATTATTATTATTCTTTCTTATCTCCTGTCTCAAAACCCAGAAACCTTTAAAGAATTCAGAGTGCTCTGCTCACATCCCATCTAATCACCCACAGTTTAAAAAGTAACCAACTTTACAACACCCCCTAGAAGTCATACTTGCAGCTCAAAGTCTGCAGAGAAAGGACCATCTTGGCATACATCTGGACACAGATACTTTTCCTTCTTAAAGAACCACACATGGTGTTCCTTACCAGGCAGCTGTCCCGTCCTCCCTCCATTAATCCGGCACACATCATGTTAGGAGTCAGCACGTTGCCATAAGCCTGCTGACAGTCCTTCTGCTTAATGATGTTCACTGCAGCTTTCTGCAACAGGTTGGTCAGTGAACCTGGGGAAAAATAAATCCACACATATCTACGCTGAAAATGTGTAAACATGTTAGAATAAATGGATCTTTCTCGCATTCTTCTTTACAGAAGAGTTTTAATGAAGGTCTTCTGTAAAGAAGAATGGGCAGACATTCATCCACAGACAGAAGAATATTTGATGATAACAATAATAAAGAAAAAGAAAAAAACAGAGTTAGCCTCACTCACCTCCTTCCTTCATGGATCCCCAACCTGTGATGTAGCACTCAGAGTCCTCATGAAATTGGTGCACAGGAGAGGGGAGACATGCTGGCTGGATGGTGTAGGACGCCGGGGCTGGCTCTGTCAGCTCCAGCAGAGCCACATCATGGTCCATGTTGTTTTTGTTGAAAGCCGGGTGGATAATCACTCTCTGTATGGGAATAACCAACGCACCGGACCCAGAACGCAGCACAGATCCAAGGCTTACAGCCCAGTTAGTGGGACTGGAATCACTAAGGATGAGGACAATGCATTAATACTCTTAGTCAGGCCTTTGATTTGGATCATTTAGATGTCACCACTGTGTTTCTTCACTAGAGATGTGTTAGTACCCATTGAAACAGTGTGCAGCAGACAATAACCACTTGCTGTGAATAAGTGTGGTGCCACAGCGATGTTGTCTCTGGTACTGCAGACTGCCGATCCACGGCCACTCTCCCCTCCGAGCTGTGACTCCACCTATGATCCGCTGAAACCCCAGCGCAGGACGAGCACCACAATCTGTGACAAAGACAAGGCTTAGGTAGCATGTTGGTAAACCCCAGCATTTACGCTGCTTTATCAGGTAAAGCCTTACTGCAGTTTTTCTCGTCTGCTTCATTGGGGCAGTCAGGGATCTTATCACACTCTGGGTTGATTTTGCTGATGCACCAACTGGAGCTGCACTGGAAGTTTTCACTGCAATTCATGGCTGGAATGCAAAATTGTTT